AAGATGACACAAATTCTCATGAAAGTAAATACATGCCCATCTAACCTCAACAGTTTCATTCCTGTATTTACCCAAGAGTGAAAACTTATCTACACAACAAGTCTTACACCAGAGTGTTCACAGCAGCTTTATTCATAGCAGGCAAAAATTGGAAATATTTATACCCGCAAGAATGGAAAACAAACTGTGGTGCATTTACACTATTCAATCATCCAAAGGAACAAATCCTGGTAACAGATGACAACACGGGGAATCACAGAAACTTTATGCTGAGTGGCAGCAGCTTGATAGAGATGGTGCATCCCACGTGTTCCCATGAGTGTGAAATGCTAGAGCAGCCAGAACTAACACAAAATGCAAATAAATTCTGTGGGTTAGGCAAGGGGTGGAGAGGCAGGATGGCAGGAAGATGCTCTGAATCCAAATATACCTCTGGGCCTCAGCAGGAAATGGACCAGGCACTGCATGAGGAGGCGACAGGTCAGCCCCTGGCCCACCCCAAGTCCTCAAAGGACTTTGCTTTTCTCCCCATGCTACTTGCCTGCTCCAGGTTTAGTTTAGCACATTGTTTCATGCACTAAACGATCAGTTCAATTCAGCCATGGCAAATGAGTAACAGGAAGAAATGCTGGGTGAGGCTTTGGTCAGTGGGTGTCAGGCAATGCTGAGAGTTACTGGAAACAGCTGCGGCTGTTCTGTGAGGCACAGAGAGAGCACGGGACAAATGCGAAGTTCTGAACCTCTGCCTTTTTCTTTTTCCTTAAAGTAGTATGCATATTGTTATATTTTTGCTTAACTTACTAAAATGGCCAGATATATGAGAAAGTGTTTAAGAAAGGTAGAACATAAAGTGCATTTTGTGGTAGATACGATTCTGAGGCACTTAAGATTCCTCCCTTTGGAGCAGACACTGTCAGGGTTTTGGATTAGTGCTGGTTTGTGGCCTGTTAGGAATTAGGTCACGGCAGGGAATGAGCTGCAGAAAGCTTGTGAAGCTTCATTTGTATTCACCACCACTCCCCATTGCTGTGTTACTGTCTGAGCTCGGCCTCTTGTCAGATCAGGGGCAGCATTCGATTCTCTACTGTGAACTGTTAATGCCAGGTATCTAGGGTGCATGCTTCTTATGAGAATCTAATCTAATAATAATAATAATAGAAATAAAGTGCACAATAAATAACATAAGCCACTTGAATCATCCCAAGATCACCCTCCCCCACAATGTCATGGGAAAGTTGTTCTCCACGGAAACCTTTCTGTTACGGCTTGTGTCTAGGTGTCCCCTCAAAGCTTTATGCAGTTTAGGGGGCTTTTCAGAGGTGCATGGGTCTAGAGTATGTGATGATGGGATTAAGGTGTGTGATTACTAAGTCAGTTTACTGATTTGTTCGGCATAGTTCTGGCTAGGATTAAGGGTGTGAGTGCTACACCCACCCTTGGGAAAGTGGCCTGCATAAAATATAAGGGACAGAGATGGCTCATGTGCTCTTGTCTTCCTTGCTGTGAACTGTTTCTCCTCTGCTATGCCCCTCTGCCATGCCACCTTGTTTTGGGACCTGCTGACTATGGACTGAAACCTCTATGAACTGTAGGCCGAATAAAACTTTCCTCTTTTAACATTGGGTGCTGGGTATTTTGTCTCAGCAATGAGAAAAGTAAGATACTGTCCCTGGTGCCAAAAACAGCTTGGGACTGCTGCTATGTCACTTCTTCCCCTTGAGAGTAGGAAGGAACTGTGAATATGACACATATCTCTCCTGGTGATTATGCTAGCCTTAGGCAAAAGGGAGATTATCCTATAAACCTGGGTGGGCCTGGCCTAATCAGGCAGGTGTTTAAAGGGGAAGGTACAGCAGCAGATGCTCACCTGGTGGAGTGGAAGAACAATCATGATTCAAACTATCTGTGCAGGGAGCCATGTGGCTCAGGCCTGGGGGCACCCTCTGGATCTAAAAGCAGCCTTTAGCTGATATTCAGTCAGAAAACCTGAACTCAGTCTTAAAACTGCTAGGAATAGAATTTGGCCATTAATCTGACTGAGTCTGGGAGGACCCTGGGCTGTAGATGAGACTGAAACCCTGGCTGACACCTTGGTTTCAGTTTTCTGAGACTATGAGCAGGATGGCCAGCTCTGATTGCTTGGCTTTCTGGTCCTGGGGATGGTAAGGTAATAAACATATACTTTAAGTCACTTAATTTGGGGTAATTTGTTGTAAAGCAATTAAAAACCAGTGTATTCACATCTCCATGCCTTAGGTGGGCACTGGGGAATTTCTCAGTTTAGTGAGTGCTTCCACAAAGCAGGAGGCCAGCTGGGAGGATGTTGTGGTGACCAAGCTCTTTGGGAAGGAACCACAGGGACACTAAGATGCAGCCTGGGAGCAGCATTTTCCAGATGAGCCGAGGGGTGGGGCTTTTCAAGGTTCCAGCTGCATATGGGCCAGGTGAAAACTCAAGTTCTCAATACCACAGTGTCTATGTCCTTAGAAGGAAAAAAAAATCTTAATTGAAGATAAAGATTGGGTCTGTCGCTGATGAAAAGGCATTAATCCTAGTTAGATGGGCAATTCATACTTTCATTGTAATGTTTTCCCTGAGGCTTGGTCTCCTATAGCTCTTTTTTTCTTTCAGTACGGGGGATTGAACCCAAAGCGTTTGAACTGAACTACATCTCTAGAACTTTTTAAAATGTTGAGATAGGTTGTCCCTATGTTGTTAAATTTCCTGGGCTGGCCTCAAACTTGTGATCCTCCTGTCTCAGCCTTCCAGAGTTGTGGAATTACAGGTGAGTACCAGCACACCTAGCTGCCCATGACTGAATTCAAGGTGGAGGTAGTGGGGCAACTATGTTGGACGTGACCACCCTAAACCCTGGGGCCCTTTGGGCACACCATGGGATGCTCCTCTTGATTCATAGTGCCTCCAGCACAGGATCTTTCAGAATCAGCTTTCATCTGCCCACCGAGGATGGTGCTAGCTTTGTAGGAGCTCTCACTATCTTGGACAGCCTGAGTGGTTTAGAATAGAGCTTTCAAAGACAAGATCCTTCAGATAGTTTTTTTTTTTTTGTTTTTTTGTTTTTTCTTTTTTTGGTCTTTTGGAGGCAGGGTCTAGCTATATAGTTCAGGCTGTTCTTGAGCTCATTTTGTAGCCCAGGCAGGTCTCAAACTTGCCAGGGTCCTCCTGCCTCAGCCTCCCTAGTGCTGGAAGTACAGGTATGTGCTGCACACCTGGTGGTCCTTCAGATAAGTGAACACAAGTCTCACCTCCTCTTGATGACCTCCCTTCTCTTTATTTAAACTTCTTTCCCTCTTTCAATTTTCCCTCCTCTGAAAAAAAGTTCAAAGCCTCTAGCCTCCTCTTTGATTTAGAACAGAAATTCTATGTCATACAGTTGTGCTCTTTGTAAACCAGTGTAGCCCAATGCTGCCTTCCTTATGTTGATGATTAATAGGGACTTGTGGTTAATTATTAAATTAGCTCACTGAAATATTCTGACAAGCTTTAATGAGCTCTTTTATGCACCTGGAGCTTTGCAAGCATCCAAGGGTATAAAAATAAAGCAGAAAAACTGAACTCTTACCACCATGGCTTAAACTGTAGTTGGAAAAATGGCATGAGGACAATTAATAAAAGCCCGTAGGATCACACAGTAGGACCTAACAGTTTTCAGAAAACTCTTAAGTGCTGTGTAATCTCTACTCTCTGCTGTCTTCTTTTACATGAATGGAAAGATACTTTCTGAAATCTGTAGCTGTCCCTGTGGTCCTCCCGCTCCCCTGCAGAGGAGGCCTCGGTAGGTAGAAGTTCCAGCACCATTTTCTTGTTCACATGCTGGACAGGACCCAAGTTAAAGGAAGCCGCTAGATCTCATATAAGATGATCAGGTTAGAATTCCTCTCTAGGCTGCTGGAAGAATTTTTTCTTAGTTCACTCATTAAGAAAAAATAATCTGCAGAACAACTATCAGAACTCAGGCAGAGAAAATATGTGTGTATGACAATGTATGCTGTGGGCCTGCACAAAATGCACAGCGGGAAGCTTGTAAATGTCAGCGATTTCTTTCTCATAGTTTGGAAGCTGCAAAGTCACAGATCAAGGTATCAACAGACTCTATCTTCTGGTTCAGAGTTGTCTTCTCAGTGTGTCCCCACATGCTTGAAAGGGACAAGGCAGCTCTTTGGGGCCTCTTTCATCAAAGCACTAGAGAACTTGTCCTCAGGGTGCCTCGGCTTCAACACATGGATTTTGGGAGATACACAGGCATCCAGATTATAACAGCATGTTTGAACAACGCACTGTATTTTCACCTTTTTGGAATGTGGACTTTATTGTGATGGGTTTGAGCCCTGACAGACTCTCCTAAATAAGACGGGAAGCGGTTTCACCAGATGCTACCTGCAAAACAAGGGCGTACGTGCAGCAAGCAAAGTCTTCCTGTGAGCACAGCAGCTGGCAGATCTGTGAGCAAGCAGAGAGCTGGCAATTGTGGATTCCACAGGGCCTCTCTGAGCAGAGCTCATCCTTGCTGATGCTCAAGGCTCTGGAGTCTTTCACTAGTGCACCCTCAGAGGGTCTGCCGGGTGAGGTTACCTTGAGAGGCCTGGAGGGAAACCAGGCCACAAGGATTCTCCATTTGTTCCAGAGCCTGTGAGGGGACCAAATGTGCGGCAGTGCTGCTGGTGTGATGGGAAGTGAGGCCATTCCCACTCTCCTTCACCCCTCTGGAGGTGGCGCCTTTGGATTCTGTAGGTAAATGTGTTCTTCTAACTTCTGAAAGAAGATTCTTGCAAATTCTAAAAGCTCCGGGCCCCAGAAATCTCAGCTGCATCCCCTCATTTCTTCCAAGAGCTATAAATGGTACTTTCAAGGTAATTAATATTACTGTGGGGACTTTGGCTGCATGAAAGGAGAGAGAAACAAAGCCAGGTAAGGAGATTCTCTTCAGAGATCCTGAATCCACATCACAAGGTGTCTTGGTTTCTTTTTATCTAATACAGGGGAGGACATAGGACCAGGGAGGAAACTTGAGTCTCCAGGTACCAGACAGAAGATGGTGGAAAGCTTTGCCTATCACCTTTCCCAAATGACGGAGGACCTCGCAGTAAGGAGGTATCTCAGGTAGCTGGCAGGCAGGCATTTTTCTTTCTTGTTTCTGAGAAATATGTTAATCTATTTTTTTAATTATAAAAAATGTACCATTTGCAGGTGTAGTGGTGCCTACCTGTAATCCCAACACTTGGGAGGCTGAGGCAGCAGGATCTTAGTGAATTTGAGGTAAGCTTGGGCTACATAGTGAGTCTCTTTCTCAAAAAAATAAAAAAAAAATGCCATTTGTAGCAAACTGGAAAATAATGAAAAGTAAAAAATTACTAATATTATCATTCAGAAATACAATATGTTAATATTTAGTTGTATTTTCTCCAATTGTCTTTCTCTGTATGTTAATAGTATCATCAATTTATCATCATATTAATAATATATGTTTAATATTGGATACTAATCCTACTAATTTTATGTAATTTATTTTAAAAAGTCATTGTGTTGGTTGCTAACAAGCTTGTACTATAATCTATTTAACAAGTACCCAATATTAAGCATTTATGTCTCTTATTGCAGTTTTCATTATAATTATGTTGCATTGAATATTCTTGTGCATGAAGTATTTTCATGCATTTAATACTATACTGCATTTTAAATCTCTTTCTAATTAAATTGTTTATCATGAGGATCATGGCAGCCTAGGATTTAACACAATGATTGTCAACTTTGCCTACTTAATGAGTTTATTTTAAATATATACTCCTGGCCCAAACTCAGATGTTTTGAATTTAAATTTTCAGGAATGAAATCTAGGAATGGGAATGTGTGTTTTTAGCCATTGTCCCTAGGGCAGTCACATAACCAGATAGGTATGGGAAGTGTTCACTCTAGCTCCTCAAGGTTATTCCAGAGTCTACACAACACCTGTGCTGAAGCTTAAGGGCATATGTTTTGGGTTTTTTATTGTAGCATCTCACTTTCAGATACTACACTGCCTTGCCAGCAATGTGCATCAAACCATACTACTCATTTTGTGGTGTTAAAGAGCACCCATTTCGTTCTGTTCATGAATTCTGTGCATCAGGAATTTGGTGGAGGCATGCCTGGGTGGTTTTTTGTTCCTCCTGTAATACACTGATGCACTCATCTGGCTAAAGGGCTGGTCTGGGAGATCTCAGCAGACTTCATCCATAAACCTAGTGACTTACTTGAGGATGAAGTAGGAGTATTAAATGAAGAGCCTTTACGTGGCTTCTCCAGCACGATACTCTCAGTGAGGCTGGACTTTCAACTTGGCAATTAGCTTGAGTGCCATCAGAGTGGGAATCTGGAAAATGCAGGTTGTAAAATACCCTATCATAACACTGACAGAACTTTTATGACCTTGAGTTGGAAGTCACATAGCATCCCTTACACCTCTCTGCAATTGTTTAAGCAGTTTTCATCCCACCTAGACTAGCATGAGAGGGGAGACAGCCCAACTCTCTATGGGAAAAGTGTCAAAGAAATAAGTGGTATTTAGAAAGAAAACTATTCCCATAGTACAGAGCTGAATTATTCAACAAGGTATCTAGTTATGCGTAGATATTTAAATTTAAAATAATACAAGGAAATAAAATGAAAAAATTCAGATCGTCAGGCTTAGTAATCATATTTCAAGAGTCCAGGAGTCCCATGTGGCTAAGTGGTACCATATTGGACAGCAAAACTATAGGGTATTTCCATTATTGTAGAAAACTCTATTGGATGACTCTAGTGTAAAAAGATTGTTCCATCCATTAAGAATGAATGAGCTTTCTACTTAGATGGTAGATTTTAAGAATAGTATCTCATTAAAAGTAACCAGAAAGTCTTGACTGGGGTAGTCTGGGGCAGGAGATAAATATGATAAAACTGAAAGACTGAGCCAGGGATTTAGCTCAGTGGCATAAGCACCTGCCTGGCAAGTATGAGGTTGTGAGTTCAATCCCTGGTACCAAACAAAACAAAACAAAACAAAACAAAACAAAACAAACAGACAAACAAACAAAACCAAAAAAGAAACTCCTGAAAGACCTTTTTAAAATGAACCTTTCATTGTATTTGTGTCACGGGCAAAGATACTTGAAGATACCCTTCCACATAAGAGAATGTAGAGCATCAAAATATTAATAATTACAGCATATTAACAATTTACCCAATTTAACTGTGATAGCTTGGACCCTGGAATAAAATCCAAGGAAGCAAGAAATTAAAATTTAGGGAGCAAAGGCTTTATTTCCAGGCCTGGTGACTCAGTCTCCTCAGGATTGACCCAAAGACTGCATGCCTCACAGCTGGGGGATTAGGCTTTTAAAGCTGAAAACCACAGGAATGTTGTAATCGTGGACACAGATAGGTAGCATATGGGCTTTACAGAACTTCCCGTAATTTCCTTGAAGTTAAGCATTTCTTAAAGAACAGTACATTTTATTACAGATAGCCAGATGATGGGTAGGGGAGGGAGTTACAGGAAACTGAAACCTAAGGCTTTTACAGCTTTCTTAGGAAATAGAAACTTAACCAAGAAAGATAGGAAGGGGGGGGGGGAGCTGAGCAGCACATACAGAACAGGAATGAGGCGCAATGGTTAGAATTAGGCTATAACATTCCCCTCTGATGTTGTGACTGAGGCCAAATCTTTGGCCTGATTACTTAAGGATTTTGGGGGATGAGCTCCCAGACGTGCTGGTGTAACATCATCAGCTTTATGCCTTGAATTTGTTGTCTGACATATGCAGTTATTCTGTTGAGTATACAAGGACCTACTGTGACCAAGAGCAGTACTCCTAACAATGGCCCAAGCAAGGGCAGGAGATAGGGCAGGATTCCATTCCAGACACTCCATAAAGGGTTTTTAAATAGCTCTCTCCTCCTCTTAACTAGGTCTTCCTGTAGTCTCTTGATTTTATCTCGGACGATGCTGGACTTATTTACATAAAAGCAGCATCATTTCTGCAATGCCACACAGATCCCTCCTTATTCTGCCATTAGGAGGTCTAGTCCCCTTCTGTTTTAGAGAACTACTTCAACCAATGAGTCTATTTGGTCTTGAGTGACCTGAATGGTACTAGATAATGCCTGTATATCACTAACTATCTGGTTGGAAAGTTGGACAGAAACCTCTACTCCTGCTGCCCCCATACCTAAGGCTCCTGATATTCCTAAGCCTACCAATAAAGGCATAAATTGAACTGCCCTCTTTGATCGGTCTGTGATGTAATCTAAACTAGGAATGGGGACAGGCTCATCCCCGGGTAGGATCTCTATATCAGGCAATAGGACAGCTGTTAACCATATCCCTGTCCAGTTAGTTGGAAGCAAAGTATAGGCCATATTTCCTCCACAAACAAATACTTGCCCTTCAGCGGGATAAAGGGAGGTAGTCTGGTTAACTATGGAACTACAATTAGTAAATGCAATGAACCCCATGTCAATGTTGGAGGTATTGTTATGAAAACCTCCTTGGAGACAGAGAGAGTCCTTGAAACCTACTGGTTGTACTCTAAAGGGGGGACCAGCACTACAATTTAAGTAATCTTTTTCCTCCAGCATAGTCAGAGAAACATTGATGGGGAGTGCAAGGGGCATGGGGGAGCCCTGTGCCCTGCATAATCAGCAATCTTCAGCCTAAGTTGGGTTGGAAGCACTTAAGTCTTTATGAGTGGCCTTTAGAATATCAGAAGTTTGAGCATCCAGATCAACTCCCCGTGATTTAGGCAGCATCAAGGGGTGGTAATGTATCTGGGGAAATATTATTTTTATTAGCTGCTTGACTCGTTCTTCAACCATGAGTTTTCTGATCTTATCTTGCAGGCTGCACCCATCAGACACATGTATAGGGGCCACCCTGCTCCAGCACACTGATTTACCAACCGTGCTGAGACACGAAACTTTGAAACTTTGAAATTCCTATTACTGTCAGATTGGTGGACCAATCACCTCCAACACTTCCAGCCCATGTCCTCATAAGCTCAGCAGTGAAGTAAGTTTTGCTATCTATGCCTATACATTCTTGTACAGAGTCATAACAGGAGGAATGCATTTCTAAATAATGAGAACAATTCTGAGGGCATGGTCCTGACTGGCTGCCTGTATTAGGTAACATACACATTCACCTTTGAGTCAAACCCCCTGTAACTGAGGGTATAGCAACAAGGAATGTTAACTTGTCCCCACAATCTGTCTGAAGACTGTATGTGTACAATTTATCATTTGTGTGGGAAGGATCTCGATCCTTGTTTCCTACTGTATGTATAATTCCCCCCCAGTTGGTGTCTTTACGTTTAGTAATATAGCCCCTTCCACAATCACAGGGGCTCTTATACAAAGATCTTAACAATTGTTCTTTGCTTACAGGGGAACCAAAGCCACCATGCAAGGTCAGCATCAATGTTATTAAAATCAAAGCAAGCAAGCTAAAGCAGTTCATGATTGGCATAATCTAACTATGTTTAGTCAATTTAACTTCAAAGGGTTACCAGTCTGCGTACAGTCCATTGAGAACATTCCTCACTGCCTGTTGCTTCCAGTGGCTTGATGTGGGTATGGTGAATCCACACAGTCTTTCCTGCTACCTTGACGGCGGTGAGAGTGCTGAGCACCGCGGTGAAAGGTCCTTCCCAGGGGGGGTTTAAGGGAGTCGCGGTGGTGACATTGCACCAAGACTCGACTCCGTGGCTCTATCGGTGCTTTGAGTGGCATCTCTGAAGGCAGATCTGGGTGTTTTTGTCTAAACAGCTGATGGATTGAAGTCAGCATGGGTTGGAGAGTCTGCAGGGACTTAATACGATCTTCATTAGTTATTTCAGCTAATTTATCTTCTGACAATCTTGGGACCAATGGTGGGAGCCTCCCAAACATAGCTTCAAAGGGGGGAAATTCCAGGAATATATGGAGTACATCTAGCCCTTAACAGTGCAAAGGGAAGAAGGCTCACCCAGTTATCGCCAGTTTCCAAGGACAATTTAGTTAAAGTATCCTTGATAGTCTGGTTCATGTCCTCTACTTGCCCTGAACTTTGTGGTCGATAGGCACAGTGAAGTTTCCAATCAATTCTTAATGCCTGAGCTAACTTTTGGGTAACTTGGGCTATGAAAGCCATGCCATTATCGGGCCCCATTGATAACAACTTTCTGACTACTACTAAGGCTGACTCAGACTTAGTAGGGAAAGCATCTACCCAGCCAGTGAAGGTGTCTACCATTACCAAGAGATAGCAATGTCCCTGTAAACCAGGCTTTACCATGTCTGTAAAGTCTACTTCCCAGTGTTTTCCTGGAGTCCCTCAATGTCGGGTGGTCTCCAGCGGAGAGTTCTTAGTCGGGTTGACTAACAAGCATTGTGAGCACCTGGAGCTCAAAGAGGTGGTCAGTTTGGAAGGTTTTGGAATAAAAAACCAAGTTCTGAACAATTCAGCAGGTTTAGTTCCCCCTAAATGGGTGGCCTGATGAGCTTGGTGTAGCAGCTCTTGCCCTAGTGCCTCTGGAAATAGTAGCCGCTTATCAGGCAACTGGTACCAGCCCTCTGGGGTGGGGGACTTCTCTCCAAGTTGAGATGCTAACTATAAATCTTTCTTTGTGTAGACTGGTTTTGACAGGGTTGGAGGAATTAGCATCAGAGCAGTTACTTCCTCGGTGGGCCCCTCTGATGTGGTTGCTATTTTTCGAGCGGCTTGATCTGCCAAATTGTTTCTTATGGTGACAGGGTCATCTCCTGTTTGGTGTGCTTTGCAATGAATAATAGCAACCCGCTGAAGTAGCCAGACAGCTGCCAGCAAGTCCAGGATTTGTGGAGCATTTCTAATCTTAGTCCTGGCTGAGGTCAAGAGACCTTGTTCTTGATAGATGGCCCCATGCACATGTACAGTAGCAAAAGCATATCTACTGTCAGTATAGATGTTTGCCTTCTTTCCCATAGCTATCTTTAATGCCTCAGTCAGGGCAATGAGCTCTGCCTTTTGGGCAGAGGTGCCAGGCTCTAACAGCTTAACCCAGAATACCTCCTTTTCGGTGGTCACTGCTGCACCAGCCACTTGCTTGCCATTCTGGATGAAGCTGCTTCCATCAGTGAAATAGTTGTCGGCATCTCCCAAAGGCTGATCAGTGAGATCAGCCCATAGGCTCTGCTGTAGCTCAAGGATGTCAGCACACTCATGGAGAGGTGTCCTTTGAGTCTCCATGTTGTCATCAGGCATAAGGGTGGCTGGATTTAAAGCTGAGGAAGTCTTGAAAACCACTGATTCTGGGTCTAGGAGCAGGGCCTGATAGTGTAGAATTCTGGCATTCGAGAGCCATTTTTTGGGAGGGGTTTTAATAAGAGTCTCTAAACTGTGGGAGGTCACCACAGAAATCCTTTGTCCAAAAGTGAGTTTCTTAGCCTCTTTGAGTAACATCGCCACAGCGGCTAGGATTTTTAGGCGTGGGGGTCACCCTCCTGCTACTGGATCGAATCTTTTAGAGAGGTAGGCTATAGGCCTCTTCCAAGGGCCAATGTCTTGAGTCAAGACTCCTTTTGTAATTCCTCTGAGCTCATCTATGAACAAGGTAAATGGCTTGGTAACATTAGGGAGCCCTAGGGCTAGAGCCTTGGTCAGGGCCTGCTTGAGTTGTTGGAAGGTCCGCTTGCATTCGTCTAATGGTTTTTGGGTCTCTCTCTTAAGAGAGTCATACAGTGGGTGAGCTATTTCAGTAAAATTCAGAATCCACAGCCTGCAGTATCCGACAGCTCCCAGAAATTCGCGCACTCGTTTCTTAGTTTCTGGGATGGGATCTGCAATATAGCCTGGGCTCTTTCTTTAGATAAAGTCCTCTTTCCTTCTTGCAATTTGTAACCCAGATAAGTCACAGCCTGATGGCACAATTGGGCCTTTCTAGCTGAGACTTTATAGCCTAATTGCCCCAAAGTCTTTAACAGTTCCTCGGTTGCCTCTTGACAAGTTTCTAGGGATGTCGAGGCTACTAACAAGTCGTCCATATACTGGATGAGCACCATCTCGGGGTGCTCTTCCCTAAGTACTGAAAGATCTCTAGCTAGCACCTCATCAAAAAGGGTGGGTGAGTTCTTAAAGCCCTGAGGTAATTGGGTCCAGGTCAGCTGTTCCTTTACCCCTGAATCTGGATCAGTCCATTCAAAGGCAAAAAGGGGTTGACTCACTGGAGCAAGAGGCAGACTGAAGAAAGCATCCTTGAGGTCCAGAACAGAGTACCAGGTGTTCTCCAGGTTGAGGAGGCTGAGAAGTGTATAAGGATTAGGCACGTTGGGTGTAGAGTCAATACTCACCTATTTAATTTAATTTATTTATTTATTATTTTTTTTAATACTCACCTATTAACCTCTCAGAGATTCTGTGCAGGGTGATAGTCTTTTGTCCCTGGTTTTTGAACTGAAAGTAGGGGTGTGTTCCATGGAGAGACACAAGGAATGAAGATACCATTGTCTCTTAGTCTCTGAATGTGGACTTTGATCCCTTTTTGGGCCTGTAGGTTTATTGGTTATTGCTGCAGGCAAATGGGGCATGCCTGGGGTAGGAACTCCACCACAAGGGGCACCTGGTTAATTGCTAACCCTGAGGGGTTGGTTTCTGCCCACACTTCTGGGATTTCCTGCTTCCATTTGTTTAACAATTTTAATTCTAAGTCCATTTGTGATGGCTCAGATAAACCAAACAAATTTCCCAGTAGGCAGTAATTTTCTCCTTCTGGGACAAGAGCTAATACTCTGATGCCTTTTGAGTCTGGAGTTGTATCCGCCCCCCCAGCTTTAGTCTTGGCTCATTTGTAAAGAAGTCAATTTGCACTTGCAATTTATGGAGGAGGTCTTGTCCCAAGAGAGGGTCTGGACACTCAGGAATCCATAGAAAATCATGTTGGACCAGCTTATGTCCAGGCTGAGCCAAGCTAGCTGTCACTTTTGGGTACAGTCTTCATCCCCTGTGGCTCCTATTACATTGACTGACTCTCGGTTAGCTTTCCTAAAGGTTGGGTCAGCACAGAATAGGTGGTTCCCGTATCTATCAGGAAGTCAACCAGTTGCCCCCCCCCACTTGAAGAGTTATCCAGGGCTCAGTGGTGGCAAGCCCTGACCTCCTCACTGTTGAGCCAACAGGGCTTCCTTTTCTAGCTTGGCCTTTAACTTTGGGCAATCTTTACACCAATGTCCCATCTCTTGGCAATATGCACATTGTTCCTTATCTAAAGGAGGCTGCTGGCCTTGAACCTCCTTTTTTCCAGTATTAGCTGACCTCTTAGCTTCTTTCTTGCAGAGCAACTCCAATATGTTAGTCATCTTTTTATTTGCGGCTTCTTGTAGGGTATCCCTGTTGTCAAAGACCTTCTGTGTTATCTCTATCAGCTGGCTGAGGAGCATCCCTTCAAATCCCTCAAGTTTCTGTAACTTTTTTCTAACATTGGGGCTGACTAAGACACGAAAGCAATATTAATCACTCGTGCATTTTCAGGTGCCATCAGATTAATTGGAGTATGTAATCTATAGGCCTCTAAGAAGCACTCCAAGCAGGAGACTCATCGGCTAACTGTCTTACCTCACTCACTCGAGCCAGATTGGTAGGCTTCTTAGCAGTGGCACGAAGCGCATCTAGGAGCCTCAGGAGATAATCATCAAGAGCCTTGTTACCTCTGTCCGTGTTGGGGTCCCATTCGGGTTGGGAGGAAGGGAACAGGTGTTCAACTTTCTGCCGATCAGCGGACAGAGATCTGTCCAGATCCTGGACTCCCTTTTGTCCTAGAGTGTAGATATGCATTCTTTCCTCAGCCATGAAAAGAATGCACAGGATCTGCTGACAGTCATCCCAAGTGGGGCAATGGGTAGAGAAAACAGATTCTATAAGGTTAATCAGAGTTTCTGGGTCCTTCAAGAAGAGGGGTTCTGAGCTTTCCAGTTATAGAGATCAGAGAAAGACAAGGGGGTGTACACAAAATGGATTTCCCCC